CACTCCTCAGAAGGAGGGTTGGGCAATCTACTTCCATAGTGATACTGCCTCAGAAACCCAAGGATGGGTCGCTGTGAGTTGGGGCCCACTCAATGGCACGTAACAACAACATGTTCATCACAGCACAATTCACCATAGCAAAGAGATGGAGACAACCTAAATGTCCATCAATGGATGAGTGGCTAACCAAAGTATGGTACATGCACACAATGGAATACTATGCTACATGAAAGAACAATGAGGGATACACGAATCATCTCACAACATGGATGAGCCTGGAGGACATTATGCTGAGTGAAATAAGTCAATTGCAGCAGGACAAAAACTGTATGAGCCCATTACTGAAAAAAGACGAAGAAGTGTCTGTTTGCAAAAGGAGACACACTTTGTAGGTTACCGGGGTGGAAAGGGAAGTGGAGGGATTAATTCCAGGCTTGTTGGGGCCCACACGCTGATGTTAGTAAGGGGAGGTATATATGTAAAGAGTCTGTGACCACCATGATAACATTAGGAAAAGGGAGGACACTGAATTGTGCACATAGGAGATAGACCACAGATGCTAATACCAACCAGTGTGCCCACAATACTGCGTTACTATTAATACCAAACACCATGCTACAGATAAACACATAAACACCTGAGAGGACCAGATGGGGGTCAGGTAGTAGGAGTATACTCTAGACCAAGGAGAGATTCAGCACAGGCTAATCTTGCACAGATACCAGTGATACAAAATACCTGCAATCCTTACAGAAACAATAGAAGACAGACACAGAGTAATCCCTCACAGACACCCAGACACTATGGGAAAGAGACCTAACAGATCTACCATCTCAGGATCATAGCACTGCGGGACACCAGACTCAAATGGCACGACATAATACATAAAAGCCTTGTTCCTCATCCTACATTAGTGAGTAGCGACTGGGGTCTTAAAAGCTTTCAAGTGGGCATCTAAGATGCAGCTAATGGTCTGCTATCATTGGAAGTGAAAAAAGTGCAAAAAAAAGGGGGGGTGGCATTTGGAAGCAACCAGCCCTAGGATACCAAGGCCCTTGAGATCAGAAGAACTAGATGGTGCCCAGCTACCATGCCAACTACTCAGGAGAGGATCAAATCTGGAGATCCTCGATAGAGTGGGAGGAAAAACATGGAACAAAATCCAAAAAGTCTATAATGACCAGAATTACTGGTTGGATGGAATTTGGCAAGACCCCCAATACTATGGCCCTTGGAAACATTCTGGGCCTGGAATAAAACTCACTTCCAGGGGCTGGCTCTTAGCCCAATAGTTAACAAGATGTACATGGAGACCACTCAACCCAGGGTGACATACCAACATACTCTATGGAAATACATCCCTTAGAGCAATAGACCACGGGACACCAGAGGGACAACATTCACACAGAGGAAATGCCAGACAAGCAGGAATGCATAACTATGAGGGGCACAGGGGGAGGGTTACTGGGCAGGGGTGGAGGAGAAGACTGTGTTAGGGTTGGGCATGGTAAATTGGGAGTGAAACTAAATGTATACATAATGTTGAATGGAAAACAAACCCTGAAAATAAAATATTAAAAAAATAATAAAAATAAGAATATGGGCTATTTCCAAAAAATGTCTGGGTCCCAGGATATCTTTTGGTCCTGTAACTAGACTCACTTCCAAAGATTAGCTCTCAGCCAAACAGTAGAAACACCTGCAAGCAGAACAGTTACCCACCTGGGTAGGTACCTGCACCCACCTACTCCTGAGAGACAAACTCCCTAGATCAATCAACCATGAGACATTAGAAGGGCAGCATTTGCATAGAGTGAAAACTGCACAGACAGGAATGCATAGATAAGAAGGGCCAGGGAAGTGATAGTCACAAGGAGGAGATGGGAGGAGAGCTTTTTGTGGCTGGGGATAGTAATTGGGCCCATCAAACCAAATGTGTTTGAACTATTGTGAGTAAAACACATCTACTTTTTAAATTTGCACCTAGATCACAATATTTTTTTTAATCTGATTTTTCTAAAATCTTCATCTTTCAGTTTTCCAACTAACTTTCTTTTATCCATTTATAGGGTTTTATGTCACTTAAGCCTTAAATTATACCTTGTGAGAATTAGTAAACTATTCTAGGCTGTTACCAACCATATCATCAGGAGTCTGTAGATTGAGACAGTATTAGGATGGCCTGATTACTTATCATTTGATACCTTGCAGGCTGGAGCCTGACATGGCATAACCCACAGACTTTTCAAATAACTCCAATGCTGAGACAGTCTTGGTCTTATATGACATACCGTTTGTATGTGTCTTCACTGTTCAAATGAAGTTTAATGTGAACCTAGTAAATGTAACAACACAAAAACAAGAAATAATTTAAGCAGATTCAGTGTATACTGGACAAAATTCAGCTTAACTTTTCTGAGGTTCCATTTACTCATTTGTAATGGAAATTTTCACAAGTTTAAAAGGGGGACAGATGAGAGACTATGTAAAATTACCTAGCACAGTGGCAACTCAGAACACAGTAGACACCTATTTTAAATGAATGAATAAATTCCCATACCTTTCCTTCAGTAACAGGTTTGAAGTGTTTCATGCACACATTTGCTTGAACTTTTTGCTCTTGCACTTGCTCTGCATTTATCTCTTAGAAATACTATAGAGGTTTTACTCTCATCTTTACTTACTTTTATATGCCGGAAAAGATTCATGTATTTATTGTATCTTATTGACAACAACATATTTAATGAAAAATGTTTAAAATAAAATATCCCATTTCTATTTCATTGGAAACATTTGAGAAAATCAGGTTTCTTGAATAGAAAAATGTCTTGAATTTCAGCAGAGGAAGCATGCAAATTCCATCTTACCTTCGTCTCCCATACACTGCATTCATGATCCCACCCTTGTTACCATGACTATCATACAAGAAAATATCTATTTCTCTTATTCCTTAGGGTTCAACTACAGAAATTGTCTGGCTAGTCATTATGGCCTTTGAAACAAGTGAAGGAATGTGGTCAACAAGGTCATAATTGAGGAATTATTTTATTTTTAGCTAATCATTGATGAACCACTCTCCCTGCTCATGAGGCGGGAACGGGTCACAGAGTTGCCATGGCGAGATAGTTGGTCACGAAACTCTGAGGCCATGAAGTAATAGAGAATTGGATCCAAAAGGCAGCAGAGGCTTGCAAGACACAGACAAAAAGGATGAAAATACAGTGTGCTTTGGACAATGAGGCAACTGGTAATGATCTTTTCCTTTACCATGGTGTAAAAAATAAAGTTAATATGATAGGGAGTGAAGCAGACGAAGAAGACTGCAGCACACATGAAAACCATCCTCAAAGCTTTCTGCCTCTCATTGATTCCTTGGAAAGCATCTGGTGGCTGTCTTAGAGATACAGTCATTTTCCAGGTACACCATGCGATGATGACCACTGGAATCACAAATCCTGCCAGCTCAGCGACTGTAATCATCCCAACCAAAACTGCTGCATTCATTTGCCTGTAACCAAGATCGGCAAAGCAGGACTCGGTGTTGTTGCCTATGTTTTCAGATCTGAGTATAGGAAATGGCGAACAAGCTGTCCCCACAATGATCCAGATGGCAGCACTGATGCCCACGTCGTACCTACGCTTCCAGTCTCTGGCTTTGAAGGGCTTGAGGAGAAAGAAACACCTCTGAAGGCTGATGCAAGTCAGGAAGCAAATGCTCGCGTACATGTTGAGATACTTCAGGTAGAAGCACAGTAGACAAAGAACTTTCTGGAAAGGCCAGTGGTGGCTAATGTAATAGTAAATCCGGAGGGGTAAGGACAGCACATGAGCAAGGTCAGCCACAGAGAGATTGATCATAAAAATGATGGCTTTATTTTTCTTGCTGATGAAGCGGCACAGAACCCACAGGGCTGCACTATTGGCCAGAAGACCAGGGATGAATATGAAGATATAGGTGGTTGCATAGAGCGAGTACTGAAATGTCACATTAAGGGAAATGCAATCAGTTTCAACATTGCTGGTGCTGTTGCTACTCATCTTGAATATTTTAGTATATTCATCAAGGTAAACCACGGTGTTATGATACCTGCCCAAAACAAAGAACAAAAAGAACAATTATAATGGTTAACTAGTCATTTAGCTAACCATCAGCTCCTCCTTTTATACTTACAGACACAGGATATTAAGATTAGAAGGTATCTGTTTACAGCTGTGGAAGCAGAGGCTCACAGAAACTATACTGCGATCCAAGGTCCCCAATAAGTCAGTTAGGGAGCCATGGAATTGCCCTCCAGCTGTCCTCTCAGATTCTCCAAGATGCATCTTGGAGGCAAAGATGTCCTGAAATATCCAATCTTTTGTTCTTATCACATTCAACAGTGTGGGCATAAACTATGTCCTCTGACATTTGAATCTATTTCTTTTACTTACAAATTTGTCTTGTCTCAAGCCCTGGATAGAGTGAATATTGCTCACTCATTCCCAATTTCAATGACAGAAATTCAACTTAACCTTTTAGATACCTTGCCTCTTCTTTGTCTGCCACCTTATCCATCGAATCTTGACATCCTATCTTGGTTCCCAAACACTTGGAAAATTGCCCTGCATCCTTGAGCCACCATGCCAGTGTTGTAGATGATTTGTAGGGTTTAGAGTATGGTTTCTCTATTATTCTGTCACAGTAGCTGGTAACTCTGAGGTTCTCCTGCATTTGTCTCTCTCTCTTGGCTTTGGTCTCATTCCACATTTACTTGAAAAATTTTAGTAACATATGGATTAATTCAGAAGCAAAATGGGTATCCTCCCTTATGTAACCTATTCTCCCTTTAAGAGGAATTCTGTGCAGGAGAAAATGAGACAATCTGCTTCTGTAAAGATTTATAGCCTTGGAAACCCTATGGGGCAGTTATCTGTTTGAAAGTGTCATTAAGAGATAAATTGACTCATTGGCAGTGGGTGTTTTTAAATATACAATATACTTCACTTTGGGTTTTATTATGTATTGTGTGGGACATGAGTAGTGTACTGTAATCTTTAGAGCTTTCTAAAGTCTGAGCATGGAGTTACACCGGCTGCCTGCAAATAGGAATAGCAAGAGATCAAATGACTCATTATTGTACTTTCATTATCTAGTAAAGACCCTTGGAAATAATCTAATTCAACCCCTAGATAACACAAGTAGATGAAGAAAGGTCCAGATTGAAGAGTTTATTAAGACTTGTTGTTGTTATATGTGCTGTCGAGTCGGACCCGACTCATAGCGACCCCTCCTTGGGTTGCGGAGGCAGTATCACTACGGAAGTAGATTGCCCCATCTTCCTTTCAAGATAAGCACCTTGTCCTCCATATTGAAGTCCAAGATCTTCCCTTTATTAGATTATAGTCTTAATAAAACTACTGAAGGGAAGATCTTCATATCCTACCTGCTCACCATCATTCATTTTCCAACTCAAAACAAGTTTTACAAACATGCATTCTGTCCGTATCATGGGATGTTTATTGCATTTAGAGCTAGAAGTAAAAGAAGTTAAGCAGTGAGTTTGTTCCTCAGGTTATATAAGGGTTTCTTTTTTCTTTCTTTCTTTTTCTTATTTTGATTTGTACATTTACAAAAACAAAGGCGTAGGCAGGTATTAGTTTCTCCTCATATGTAGTAGAGTACCTTCCCACTTCCTTTTTCTGTTCTACTCCAGGAATATTTTTTGTTATCGTTCCCTGCTGTTGAGTCAATTCTGACACACAGTGACCCCATGTGACAAAGTAGAATTGTCCTATAGGGTTTTTCTTGGCTGTAATCGTTATGGAAACAGATCATCAGGTCTTTTACCCATGGGGCCTCTGGGTGAGTTTGAACTACTGACCTTTAGTTTAGGAGCCAAGCACTTAACAATTGTGCCATTAGGGCTCCAGGAAATACAGATGGGATAAAAGAACAGAATTTCAAGTGCTGAATTCACAGAGGAAAAATGGCTGCTATTATAAACTACAATATGGGAGCTATGGGGCATAGTGCCTAAGGCATTTGACTGCTAACCAGAAGGCTCGTGGTTCAAATCCACCGGCCACTCCTTGGAAGGAAGATAAGGAAATCTATTTCCATAGAGAAACTGTCTCAGGAACCCAAGGAGGGGTCACTATGATTTGAATCGACTTGACGGCAGTGAGTTGGTTTGGTATTTCACTTATGAGTGCTTTAAATTTCCCTCTTATTCTATTCAGTCCCCCCTGCTTGGCCTATCATGTGTGATATTCTGTAAAGAATCCAGCAGTAATCTTGTGTATATCTATATGACTTAGGGCCAGAGTGAGGGGGTAGAAGGGTACTTAAAGTGGTAATGTAGAGAATAATGATTATTTTTGTGAACATCTATAATGGATCCCAAAATTTGCAATGGGAACTTTCACATGCATTATCTAATTGAATTCTCATCACTGCCCTATTATTATTACCTTCATAGTGTAGATGAAGAAACTTCTCACCATGGCCTAAAGTTCATATCTAAGATGGCTCCTATGTCCTCCAACATCAGTTGAGGTATTTTTAGTTTCTCCAAGCTAAGCATTCTTCATGACAAAGACATCTGCATATGCTGTTCCCTCCGTCTAGATTTTATTCTTCCAGATAAGTACATGTCTAACTCCTTTTAAATTCAGTTTACGATCAGAGACATCCTGCCCAGCCTAACTAGGTAATTTTACATATCATTTCATATTCTCATACTTTATGTTCTTTCCCTTTGTGGCATCTACATTTGTAATATAGATGTTTGTTTACTTGTTTATTTGTTACCTCACCCACTCTGCTATTAGCTTCTTTATTGCCATAAGATCTGATCTGTTTATTACCATTATAGCCAGGATTTAACCTGCTAGCTAGTAAGTACTCGAAAATATTTGTATAATTGAACTGAATTGCATCACAATTATTCAAAACCCATATTTAAAAGCATTAAGAAAAATGCAAACATATGTCAACCAATATATTTCTTCTGCCACCTGTTGCCCTGAAATTCTGTCTCTGTCTTCTGATTTGATCTATTAGCATCAATATTTTCAGTGCCTTCCCTTTCCAACTCAGAAAGGTAATGCCTGGAAAGACCTGAGAGAAGAACAAAACAGAAAGGTCAGACATATCCTGTGAGTAGAAGTTAACATAACCCAAATTCTCAAAGTACCATCACCACTATTATCTGGACCTCATGAAGAGAGGAGTCCTTGTGCTATGTTTCCAAAAGCATCTCAGTCTTTCCTTTTTATTGTTTGTGGTCCTGCAAAGGGTACACTTGCATAATATACATGATTACAGCACTTGACTGCTAACCAGAAGGCTGGCGGTTCAACCCCACCAGCCACTCCTCGGAAGGAAGGTTGGGCAATCCTACTTCCGTAGTGATACTGCC